TCAGACATGGTACACCCACAGAGTTCCAAGAACCTTCCACACCAGAGTCACTAAGGTCTTGGACTATCCCCAGGATCTCAGCTGGAAGGCAGAACTTTTCAGGTTGCTCTCAGCACATCCCGAAGATCCTAGACAGGGTTCCAGCTCACAGGGGTACTGCTCGAACAGATCTACGAACATTCAAGGAACTAGGGCCGGACTGGGGATACAAAGCAGCCTTGGAAAAAATCTATGCCAGCCCCACAGCACGGCGTGGGAAAAAAAAAAAGTGAGTGAAAACACTATTTTTAAACACACACAGACACACCATGACAGACACAGACACACACATTTACCAGGACAGATGACAGACACACACACCATGACAGACACAGACATACCACAACAGACACCCACATACCATGATAGACACACACACGTCTTGACAGACACACACACACCATGACAGACACACACACCATGACAGACACACACATACCATGACAGACACACACGTCTTGACAGACACACGTCTTGACAGACACACACCATGATAGACACACACACACACCTTGACAGACACACACACCATGACAGACAGACACAAACCACAACAGACAGACACACACAATGACAGTCAGACCCCAACCACGACAGACACACACACCATGACAGACACACACGATGACAGACAGATACACACCATGAAACACACACACCACGACAGACAGACACACACCATGACAGACAGACACGCCATGACAGACCATGACACGCCATACCATCCCTGAATTTGTCCTAGCCTTTGGCCTATATAGGGATATCATCTGTTCTGTTTTTCTACAGCGCAGAGAAGAGCTAGACCTGTACATGCAAGTTGGTGGATTTGGGACACAAATACGGGGGTTTTATGACTACCACAAGTCTGTGCCAGCCAAAGCAGCAGCAGCCCTGGCTCAATTTAATATTCGCACAGACTGGAGCCAGTGAGACACGGAACTATTTTGCAGGCATTTCGCAGGCTTGAAACCCCCGTCTTGTGCGGTCTGCACGTCCACATCCCACTCCACAAATTTGTGCCCATCCGAAGCGAACCCACTTATGCAGCCAACCCAGGCAACCCCACAGGCACACTAGAATGCCCCAGCCTGCTTTCAGCTACTAACGACCGTCTCACGGTAGACACCCTCATAGACGAAGTTCACCAAGGTTTCATGCTATGTCCATTTTCCTCCCCTCCTTTTTTCAATGTGACATACTAACCCCATTGGCTTCGCAATTGGCAAATACTCTAAAAAAAATATGATCATAGACTTATCAGCTTCTCATTCATCAACCACACAAGTCTAAATTCACTCATTTCATCCTCTGAATTTTCCCTAGACTATGCCACTGTGGACAATGCCATATAGGCAATTTTAAAAGCTGGTAGAGCCGCATGGTTAAGCAAAACAGATATCACCAACGCTTTTGAGTTGCTACCTATTCATCCCTCTTTATGGCATATTCATGGTCTGAAGTGGAGAGAAAAATATTATTTTGCTACTAGACTCATGTTTAGCGCTAAAAGTAGCCTGAGAATTTTTGGCACATTCGCCGAGACATTATGCTGGCTTCTTCTCAATATAGCAAGGTGCCCCATGGTGATACATTATTTGGATGATTTTCTGTTGGTGGAAGATAGTAGTAACACACCTCTGAGTTTAATAAGCACAACAGCACTATTTTCCACACTGGGCATTCCACTTTCTCCTGATAAGACCATAGGACCCACCAGAAGACAATTTTTTTTATGGTTTAAATTAGATTCACATTTAATGCAGTCTTGTCTTCCCGAGGATAAACTTCATTGCATTTGCGAAGAGTTAGACAAGTTCCTGAATTTAGGAGTTTGTACGTGCAGGGATGTCCATTCCCTACTTGGATCCTTGAACTTCGCGATGCACATTATTCCACAGGGAAGATCATTTATATCCAGACTGCTATGCCTCCTACCAGGCCTCCCAGACGACAGTATTATTTGTCTAGACCCACCTGCTAGTGCAGACCTGACTATGTGGCAAAATGTCTGACCAATCCCCGGTTTTCTGGACTGACAAAGCTTCTAACACAGGGTTTGCTGCAATTCATAACAACTATTGGTTAAGTGACAACTGGAGTTGCCCTCCTTTGGGGAAACTTTGGCTTTATTCGAAATTTACCCTATAGTGGCGGCAGCCTTTTAATAGGGGAAACTTTGGTCAGGTATGGCTGTCAAATGTTATAGAGATAATGTGGCAGCCTGCGAAATAATCAATAAGGGTAAGTCGTCATATCTGACCATTATGAAGTTAATTTGCAGGTTGACTTGGTTGACAACGATTTACTTACTTTTCCTTGTCTGTGAGCATATACCAGGTTGCAATAATTTAGCCG